GGGGGGGGGATATTCAGGTCATTACAAGGGAAGAGATTTACCTCACTTTGAACAGGATCTAGGTCTATCAGATTGTTTTGCCTGCACTTTTAGAGCCCTTTTTGCTCTTTTTAGTTTTGTCTTTATCTATGTGTCTTTTTCTATGTTGGTTGTTTTGGTAAGGGTATTACCAGTACCTACAGTTTAGTCAAGTATAGCCAGTACCTACAGTTTAGTAAGGTTTGAACTAATACCTACACATTGGTGAGGTTATAACAAGTACCTACAGTTTGGTAAAGGTATAACTGCAGTAGGCCTACCTCTACTTTGGTAAAGTTTGAACCAGTAAGAACTACATTTTTATAAAGTACAAGCAGTACCTACAGGTTGGTAAAAGGGTAACTAGTCCCTACCTCTACTTTAAAGTTTGAACCAGTAAGAACTACACTTTTATAATGTACAAGCAGTACCTACAGGTTGGTAAAAGGGTAACCAGTACCTACACTTTGTAGTACACATTGGTAAGGTTTGAATCAGCAATAACTATACCACTTTGGTAAGTGTTAATCAGTATCTACAGGTTGGTAAAGGTATAACTTATACCTACACTTTGGTAAGGATTAAGGCGATCTGGGTTGATGTCGTGCAAACATTTCCCGCCAAATGTCTTTTTGCCCTGAAGGTAGTTGGAGCCAGTGTAGTCAATACCTGAGTGGGAAGGGGTGGGAGAGGGTGGGGGGGGAAGAAACGTTAGTTATCAGCGCAATGTATCAATCTCGGTGACAACGACAGCACCACCATCAACACCACCAATAACACACTGACAACAACTACGAAAACAGCACCATCATTATCATTAGCATCATTATCATCATCATCATCATCATCATCATCAACAACAACAACAGCAGCAATAATAACAACAACAACAACAACAACAACAACAACAACAACAACAACAACAACAACAACAACAACAACACGAGAAGCGGTGGCCCTGGCTAAGAACACACTCTTCGGGGCTCCAAACATTTCAAACGGACAGGCTACCACACACACACACCAAAACAACCACCACAACAGCACTGATTCCACCACCACTATGCCCCACTTTTATCTAGCCATGACGTGTTCCCATGTGTTCTAACCACACAGACCCCACAGACGGTGGAGGGGATAGAGTACTCACCAAAGATCAGGTTGCATGTCTCCAACCCTGCCTTGTGGATGACGGCGCTCACCTCGTCCAGAGAGCTCACTTTACTGGCCACCTGAGGAGAAATATACACGTAATGTATACTTTTCTGGCCACCTGAGGAGAAATATACACGTGAAGTATACTTTTCTGGCCACCTGAGGAGAAACATACACGTGATGGCTACTTTTCCGGCCTCCTGAGGGGAAATATACATAAAAGGCTGTATACTTATAGGCCGCCTGAGGAGAAATTTACACATGATGTATACGTTTCTGACCATCTTGGAACAAATTTACACATGCTATAATACTTTCCTGGCCACCTGGGGAGAAATATACCCATGACAAATACTTAATTGGCCATCTTAGAAAATATACACAAGATGTATACTTACTGGCCACTTATGGAAAAAGAATAATATAACTCTGGAAATTCGTTATTATACTCGTGATGTATATTTTACTGGCCACATGGGGGGAGAAATAGACAGATGATGTACATTTTATTGACTAGACCAAGAGAATTATACACAATGATTATTAATTTACTGGTCATCCAGGAAGAAATTACATGAAATATACTTTAACTTGTCACTTGGGGAGAAATATACAAATAATGAATACTTTACAAACCACTCTGGAATATTATACATGGTGACAGTTTTCTGGCCACCTGTGGAATAATATACACATGATAATATATTCTACTGGTCACCTAGGGATAAATAATAGTACACTTAGCGTATATTTTGCTGAATGTGAAATAGAAAGCGATGTATATTTTACTGACCACTTAGCGAGAAATAAACTCGCGATGTATACTTTATTGGTAACACAGGGAGAAATATACACAGTTTGTCTATCTTACTGGCCACCAGCGGAGAAATACATACATGATGCATACTTTACTAGCTACTGGAAGAGAAATAATATACAGAAGCTGTATTCTTTACTTTCTGCCCAGGGAGAAATGTGTTTCAAAAGATGCATACTTTACTGGCCACTTGGAGATTATGTCTGCTTTCGTGGCCTATTGAAGAGAAGTGTACACAATTTTTTTTTTCCTTACTCGCCGCCTGTTGAGACCACAATACTACTGACGTACACTCTAATAGAGTGTGAAATGATAGGAGAACGAAACAAGGACGGTTGTGGGTGTGGAAATTGTTGGG